GACTGGGCGAGGCGGAAAGCAGCACTAATCAGGACTCTAGACTGCTCACACGTGTTTTACGCGTCATTGGTCCGGTCGATAAAATCACTGCTCTTTAATTGATGGTATCGTTACGTTATACATTAACAGGGCTCACAGACCATAAGTTATAACAGGTATTAATCACTACTTAAAGATCAATTAAATTAGTTTTTACCTTCAGATCATGCATGATACATGATTATTAGTCTTCAAGATTCATAGAATAAGATCACAGTTCACTGAATGAATGAATAAAGATGAATTCAAAGAAAAAATAGCATTCTATATGTAAACATAAAACGGTTAGAAAACTTGGTATAGACACAAAAACTCGTACAGTGAAACATTACTAATTATATAAATATATAATAATACTATTAAAACTGTATTTTTTATTTAAACAATATAAAGCAATAATTAATGGAAAAAAAAATCATAAGAGGTAACAACTTTCAATTATCTATCTGCCTATAAATGAAGTTGTATTATAATAGAATATCTGACTTATAATTTATCATAAATTCAATATGATATTATACACAATTAAACGAATTATCTATAATAAATCATTGTAATATTGACAAATGAAAAGAAACAAAACTAATTTAACCTATAACTGGAATATTATTACTTAATCATTATATTATATTGAGTATAATATTTTTTGGAACAAAAAAAAAGAAATAAATTATAATAAAAATAAATACTATTAATGCGCCAGTTGATTTATTCATTGAAACATTGAATAAATTCAAATAATGAAATTCAATGACCATAATTGAAACATTCATATATTTATTTTTTTTCATGTGTAAAATCAATTGTCTTTTTAATAAGTGAAATAGAAAAAGAAAATATAAATTCTTTGAATAGCAACAAATTCTGTAACCGTGACTCGCACACACACACACGTGCGCACGCACGCACGCACATGCACACAGATACACAAAAAATGATAAAAACAGAAACAAATGCTAAATCCAATGAAGCGATTACATATTTGACAATATTATATTCATTCTAAATCGTGGATACTTTTTTTAGTTTCCATTAGTAAGAAGGAAAAAAAACAAGTGGAATTATATTTAAAAAAAAGGAAGTGAGACTATATTTGTATTAATAATCATGGAAACTATGCCGTATTCAAATGAGACGCAAAAAAGAAAACTATAAACCATGAACAGAATATATTACGAAGTAATAATTGATGTGAAATTTCTCTAATAGAAAATCTTTTATAAAATGAAAATAAACGTAAACTTAATATAACTTTTACCATATATCAATTGAGTAATACGAAAAATAATTAATTTAACTATTAAGTATTATAGCTAATTATCAATTTGGGTACCTATACATGTATGTTGGGTTAAGCTGTACAATATGATGAAATTAACAATGTGAATTGTAGGAGAAATTGAAATAACATAACAGTCATGACAGTAGGAAAGAATAAACATGGAAAATATAGTTTAAAGAGATAGAGTGGAAAGGTATATATGGAGGAATAGTAGAATTAGAGATAGAATGAAAGATAAGCAAAACGTGAACGGATCTTTATCATTGTGAACGATTTTGAGTCATGACATTCAAAATCTCTAACAACTGATCACAGTTATTGCACAAACTTCTTCCAAGCAGTCTTCATTTACCAGTATAGCTTAGATCAACATTCGTTAACTTTATGAACAAGAGCCATGTATTGTTTCGGATACCTTAGTAGTATAAACTAGATACCAAAAGCTAATGTTACTAAATCGTTGAATATTATCTAAAGTTTTAGCCGATTCAATTGATTGTAACTTAGCCAAACCAACTGAACGTTAAAACGAAAATCAATTTGTTGTAAAAGAAATTCAGACAGCAGAAATTTCGACGTTACTATAGCGTAAAAGCTTTTTTCAAGTATATGGTCTAATTAAAGAAATTTCTATGAATAATGTCTACAAGGGTCTACAAGATAACTATTTGTACGTTTTGACACTTACTACAAACATTTATTAGGTTAAACTAGACAAATATCGACATGAGTTTGACTGGGAAAACATCCAATACTGATTTCCAATCGTTATCTAACAAAGGTAAGCATATGATGTAAATTGGTTGAATCCAACAAACATATCTAAGTTAAATCATTATTAAGAATCTAGAAGTACTGGACGGGTGTTTAGTACTAGAACTCTTAAGCAGAAGCCTTCATGTGAGAATCGAACGTATTTGTTGCAATACACAAATTTCTGTCTTTTTAAATATTAAACAAAATTAGTGATTAGCTCAATCGTGATCAACTTTCAACGTCATTTAAGATTGACATACATACTGTAATGCTGTAAACAGTCGACAGGACAATAAATGAAACATAATTCCGAGAACAAATTGAAGTTTCACCACATGAAATCAAAATATTATAGGGAAACCGGTAATATTAATATTAGTGTATAATTAAATTACATAGATTTAAATTACTGCATCATACAACAGTATAAAAAGAGTAAATATATCTGCATCATTTTGATGGATCATAAAATCTATCACTGTTAGAATATCACTACTGATTTTTATCATTATGAATAAATTAATTTAGGGTTTTTACATTTCACTGATAAAAATTAAAATTTTCAGTTAGTAACTTCATTGACCATGCATCATCAACAACAAAAACAAACATAATGAAATAAAATTTCTAATATTTATATTAATCTAAGAAAAAATATTGTCCTACATTCATCATCTATCTTCATTACTAAGAGAAATTAATATAATTGCCAAAGTTTCAATAAGTTACTATTTGACCTTGAAATAATTGTTAGTTCTTTTTTTTAATTTCATAATGAAACATATTGGTAAAAGTAAATAAAACTAACCTGTTTTCGTTAGCTAGGTCATATATATATATATATATATATATATATATATATATATATATATATATATATATATATATCGCTGAATAGATTCAACGTAATTTTAAAATAGAAAATATCTATCAATTTATCCATAAGTAAACTTATCCGTTTAAGGTCAGATGTTTTATATTTGGTAGAAAATTAATTGAAGTTAAATAAAATTCTAGGTTGTTATAGTAATTAACTCATCACCTTCAGTTAACTAGTCACGTTACAATCGTTCAACAGGTTTAAATTTCACATTATTTGCGATAACCTTAGGCATCCTTTCAACTTCAGTTACTTACCACTATAAACATGGTTTGCTCTGCTCAGAAGATTTATCTAATACAGTGTCTAATTAACAAAATAAACTGCAAGTAGGAATCTAAAACCTAATAGATATTCATCATTTCCCACGAAATATTTTCCAGTCTCCAGTGAACAAATGTTATACTACTCTTAATCGTAATCACACAATAGCTTATGGTGCCGTATTTCTGTTTCAATCTTCAATGACAGTACATACGATAAAGATAATGAAATCGAAATCCTTAGCTACTCATTGATAACTCTTAACCAATTATAATTAATAATATTACTGTGTTGTGTATAACAGTAGTCTTAAAACTACTTTGTTTTCACGTCCTGCCTCGTTGAACTCTATTGGTCATAGTTTCCAACTAGATCTCCAGGAGTTTCAGTCGTCAGATGGGTATCAACAGTGATAGTAAATGAAGCTAGTGCAATATCGCAACCTAACTAAAGCCATAAACGTAAACAGAAGGATCCCGAATCAGTAGTATAAAGGTTAACATCACGCCAAAAGGTCTAAAGATTTTGAGTTCAGTCGCTGTATGGTTCATGGATTTACACTCCTAGTGAGTCCCATGCTATAAAAAATTAGCTACCCAATGCTTCACTCTAAAGGGTGAAGTTTCAATTCGTTCTGTATTGTTTTTTTGAATTTTCATATTAATGTTTAGGACTGCAGTTGTTCAGTCTTTTATTGCACAGGCTAGTGACCATCAGGGCTCAGTAGCTAAGTGAACAGCGCGTTGGCATTTGAACCAAAGAGTATTGGATTTGAGTCCCATAGTGAACATCAGCTCTGAGATGCAGGTACATTCAGACAACGAGTCCCAAGTAGGACGGAACGCGCGTCCTGGATTCCACCATTAGCCACCGTCCATCTTTACTTACAAAACTAGTTTGTTTTTGTAATAAATAGTTAATTAGAACTGTAATAAGTAAAAATGTTAATTTGTTGAAGAATGTTGACATTAAGTAGGAAATTAAGAAATGCCGGAAACACTCCATGGCTATGTTGTCTCAGTTTAGGCTTCTACAATAAAATGCATCCCCAGTACGGGATCAAATCCAGGATTTTCAAGTTTGTAGGTAAAAAGTATAATATAAACCAACTAAGTTAATATCAAATTATTCATTTTTCATTTTGAAGGGCCTAAATTTTGTTGTTGTTGATCTTAAATTCTGCAATTGAACAGTTCCTTTTAGCATATTCAAATCCTTAGCGGAGTCCTATGATAATTTCGCTGTCATGAGCTTTAAAGTTTTAATACCATGAGCTGGGCGTTTGAAGCTAGAGACAACAGGTTCGAGTCTAATGGTGAATATTAACACTGGTGCAGATACATCCAGATGATGAATCCTAAAATTGGAGAAGTGCATGTTCGGAATTCTATTGCCAGCCCCTATCATGCTCTGCTCGCATGTTTACAATTTATATCTGTCTATCATATATTCCTATCAATTCTTATACTCATCGGAAGCAAACCCACTGGAACGTTCGGCATATAATGTGATTGAAACTATCTTCAAATCGAACGGCTATAATTTGTTTAAAAAATGTGAGGAAATGATGAGGTTTGGTATGGATTCCACGACTAGCCACAATCTAGCTTTCGTAATAACTTGTGACTAAATGAAAATATCAAGATGATCTTCTCGGAGTGAACATGCACCAAAAGAGACTGAATAGTTGCAATCTTCAACATTAATAAAAAGCCAAAAACAAACCTATACAAATATAATCACAATTTATTAAAATATCAAAAATAATTTGAAACTTACCAATTTATAAATTGGACGCAATTCAGAAAATTCCCATAACATAAACAATAATTGACGTATAAGTTTAATAACAGTTTGAGTAGTTTTATCTTCATTGACTAATTGTTCAGTACAATTAAATCTTATTAAATGACCATTATTATGGCAAATTTTTAATAATTCTTGACATTTCTCAACTCCTCCTAGTGTAACAAAACGTCTGTAAGAAGTTAAATAAAGTAAATGAAATAATTAGAAAATGGCATAGATACATATAATTGTGCACAACAATTTTTGTTTTGCTGAGAGGAAGGGGTTGTAATTGAAAAGTAAACAAGACTGTCGGAAACAAAATAGTCTTTTTAATGAAACAATCAATTTTCTCTTCCTTATCAATTAGAGAATTTCAAAGTAAAATAAAAAAATAAACAAAATACGCATATTTCGGTAATTATTCAGTTCTTATATCAAAAACAATGTTTGTAGTTATGTTATGTATGTCTTTTTTCCCTCTCTCTCTCTCTCTCTTTCCTCTAGTTAACAAAGGTTCATTCATATAATTAACTGATGATTAACTTTAGAGTAACTTCAAACTCCTTTTTTACTAAACAATAATATTAGGTCTATTATATGAAACTCTTAACAAATAGAAAGATAGCAATGTTGAAATTTGTTGATATTGCTGGATAATAAAATTTATAAATTAATTGCAAAACTATGCGATAATCATGTGAATCAGAGTGGATAATTCAGAGACAATGATAAATTGGATATTTGCTTTGATAATAGTTTTTTTAGTGTCTCTGAAATGGAATACTTATTAAACCAGATTTTCATGATTACTAACAAGTTAAAATCATTTAATTGTAAGTCCGCTACCTATCACCATGTTATCCAAAAGATAATGTCAGCTTTAATTGTTTTATAACCAAGTTACGTTAGTCAGTCAATCAGCCAGTTAGTTATATGCAAATTAGAATCTAGTGCCAATGTGCAATGGTTCGGGTTACCATACCACATTGGCGTAGCAAGTTAAAATTATCAAGACAAATCCCAGAGTGTGGAAGTAGTAATAGTATCATAAGTAGTAGAAAGGATCAGACATAAAATTAGGAAAAAACAGGATAAGTATATTTTAGGACTGAGGATCCGAGGGAAGACGAAAATTGAACACACCTGAACCATTTTGGATGATTTTGAACCATATCGCCCAAGTTCCTTAACCATTGGTTACGATAATCGTACTGACCCCAACCAGTTAATCCGCATCTATCTATATGGTTCAGTCATACGATCAGCAACTTCATGAACTTATCCCAAGAAACATCCAACTGATGAGTTCCATATAAAATGAAATGCCCTCCTTGAATTTTACTACTAGCCTTTATCCGAGCCTAATTAGATATTATGATTAAATGACAATACATATGGAATGTACTTAATATCCACATATAACAACTAAAACTGATTAGTTAAACTCTTTAATATCACTGATTGAAAAATACAAAGAAATTATAAACCCTTACAAATAAAATAATGTTACTAATTTTTTCAGATGTCAAACTTTAAATCAGTTTGTTATATGCTTGAGACAAACTCTATCTACTGAATTTTTAAGTAGTCATTTGGTATTGATTACCGCTTACGTAATACATGTAACCCATAGCCTCCAGTATATAAATATTTAAGTAGATGTCAAGTTAACATAAAGTACCATTTATTGAGTAACATAATTCAGTACCATAGTTAAGCAGTATTAAATCCTTAGTGATTTCCCTAGTAGTTTATGTTATTTAATAAATATCATAAAATTATTGATAATATTTTTCAATCAGTAGAACTGTCAAATCATCTTACCTAGCATTTTCCAATTTTTTATGTATTATAACACAACATAAACTTAACAAAGCAGTTGTACATTGTTTCTGTATATTAGATTTATTTTCTTCACCAAATTGTGTATATTCATGATTTGTTAAACATACTGATTTATTCATTACATTTGATGTTTGTATTGGTATTTGCCATTCAGAATTATTGTTATAATAACTGTTATTATTAAGATTATTATTCATTGTATTTAGTTTATTTAAGTGTGTTTTATATTCATTAGAATGTAAATTTAATGCAATTCCACATGAATGTTGATCTAATGCTTGTATAATACGATTTAATGCATATTTACCAAGTAGATTACAACTAATTGGATCTAATGCAGAATTACGTAATGCATTAGCTGCAGTTGCAACAACATTATGCATTGAATTATTTAACAATTCTACAAGTAATGGAAGTCCATGATTTAAACGAATCTACAAATTACCATGGAAAAAAAGATAACAAAAATAACGAAGAAATTGATATACAATAAGTTAGTGTTAAATAACTTGCTAAATTTGTTATCTGAATGATAATTATCAGTATATCAATGCATTCTTATGTAGTTGCACCAAGGTATTTATCTAGACTGCTCTGATTAGTGTCTAGTTTATGTGAAAATACAAAGCATGATAATTTTCTCTTTTGTATGATATATATATATATATAGGCTACACATGATAACATATGAATTATTTACTAAATAATAACATCGGTTATTACTGTCTTAACATGGATATAAAAGTCATAATTTGTTAAGTGGTTACCTTTATAATAACAATATGCACTAGTTATCATGAATTACAAGTTTTAATTCAAAGTTCTAAGGTGGTTACAGTCAAAGATAATTTCACGTTATGCTATATCTTTATATATTTTAAACAAAAAAAGGTGTGTACATGAACATGATAAATCATAGACTGACCACTATTCTTTGGATATATATGGTCGAACTCAGAAAATATTTAGTCAGAAGAAAAACACTCACAGTCGTTTCAATGTCAGCCGTGTTACGTCACGTTTATCAAAAATAAAGAACACCATATCGACATGTTGAACTCTTTCAAAATAATCAACAGATAGAACATTCTGACTTCAAAACTTTTTGAGTCTATAAATATCAAGAGAATGTGATCTAATCTTCGTATTTAATAAATAACTCTCATCAACCGTTTATAACGATAATGAAATATAACATTTTATATAAGCTCCCTAGTAACTTCCTTTTACTTCTATTGTCATAAGCTTTCATATTGTTTAACAACATTGTTATTATTATCTTTATTATGATAATTACTTTAACCTAAATCTTTTATATGACCTGTATATAATATTAACATGATTACATAAATTTTCTTCCATCTATCATCCTAACATGTTCAAATTCTTGTCTTTTATACTGATTCGTTTCATTTAATGTTTTATTCTTAAAACATAAAAAATATTTCCATTTGTTGACCTGACTTATTTTACATAAAATTATCTATTTATTTATTCGAATGATAAAATATCCGTGAAATAACATCATTTTAGTTCCTTTAAGTTGTGTTTTAAAAACTTAGTTAATATAAGGAAACCGTATTTTTTAACGAAAGAAAATTGCATTTTGATGGTAGTTCACACTTCATCATTAAAAAAAAGACAGTACTAAATAGATGGTTCACTCTAGTATTGTTAGACTTCTTATATATATAGCCTTACAGATTGGATCAAATCCAAGAAGTTTTATGGTTTGTGATAAGCACATTACTACCAAATAATTGAAAGTTAAACCGCAGAGAAAGATATAAGGTTCGAGTCCCAACGAGAACATCAACAATAAGATCCAGGTACATTCAGCTGATGAGTGGTGAATATAACAGAATTTATGCAGCAGATTTCATTGTCAGTTATGATATAACTCTATTGAAATTATTATTAGAATAATGTGACCGGAAAATAATCAACTATACATGTAAAACTAGGTTATATATATACCGTTAAAATAATTTTAAATAAGGGTAATTTCTGTTATCTCTTATTTCATACTTATGTTTCTATCTAAATCTAAAAAAAAAACTCAGCACTTACTAAAATAAGGTCAGAGTAATCAATTAAAGAAAATTAAATCATTATCATCACATTTATAAAGTGATATAATCACAATGAATGTTAAATGTTGTGAATTTCTGTCATGTCAAACAATTAAACAGGAAATTTGAATAATGAAACAAAACAAAACAAATGAAGTTGACAGCTTCACGAAAAATTTAATGGTATTCTTTAAAATTGAAATTTATTGAATGTTATTAATGCTGAGTTCGTTTTTTTTCTTCTTCATTTCAAACTCGTTTGATAATCATCATTTCAGTTAGAATAGAATTTATATTACACTTAATTCATATTTATAATTTAGCAGATGATAGGACCATGTAACCTATAATGGTATATTAAATAAACACAAATACCTCTGTACCTAAAGGATACTTTCAAAGAATAGAGTCATTTACAGTATATTGTCACTGAAAGCCAAAATATAATTCTTCTATTTGATTGCTGATAACCTTTGTCGATTTGTAGTACATGTTTCCTGATATCTGATTTAATATGGCTTACAAGTGGATCAAGTTTATGTATTCCTATGAGTCAACATCGAGTGACCCACATTTCATGCCTTTATTTTACAGTCTTAATATTCAGAAATTTCGAAACAACCTGACGAGATCTAGTCCTAACCTCATTCCAATATGATAGGTTGTGAATATCTAATGATAAAAAGTTGTAAACTAGAATGAAATAACAAGTCAGTACTGACTTTTTCGGTTCATTGTGTCTTCAGAAGTCGCTAATTCACTGCAGAAATTACCGCTTAATTAAAAACAAGTGAGTTAAACTCTTTAGAAATAACGTTTGATTTTTCTTTGATTGTTTCCTTCAGTTAACTAGTGATCGAGATTATAAATTTCATTATTATTTTTAAAAATATGAAATAATTTTGTCTCAATTTTTAGTCAGAGATTTTGATTAAAACATCTACAGCATCCTAAGCAAGGATGGATGATTGTTTACAGTCGAATCCAGGACACCCGTTTCGTTCTGTTTTGAGACTCATCAGTTGGATGTACCTGTATCCCAAAGTTGACTTATGTCAATATTGAGGCAGTCCGTACAGGATGCACAAATACCAATAAAAGACTGGTCAATCGCAGTCCTAAACGTCAATGGGAAGATTCAAACGACCAATACAAAAATGAATTCAACTGTAACATAGTATCAAAAAAAAATGCAGATCATGACAGAATACACTTACATATACACAAACAAGAAGCATAAATAAATTTTAACAACTTTAATCTAAACCTATTAAAGAATTCTAGGAAGCATTTACATTTATCCTGCTTGATTACTTGTTTGTGAAAATTAAACGAAACTAACTTTTGATTGGTTTTCAAACTTTGTATATTACTATAAAATACATGAGAGATGAATACAATGAATGAGAAAGAGAAAAATTCGGTTAGCTTAGTCAAGAAATGTGTTTTAAAAATGGACAAGAATAGAAGTAGTGGGGATTATTCAAATACTTAAACCATATTTTTTTTAAAAAGCAAGTTTAAAAGTGAAGAAAAAAGGAGCAGAGGAAATGGAATCATGTTTATATGAATTATATATTGCATTGTTTAATTCGTTGTAGGCGATGCCCAGTTTTATGCTCTAATTCCGATAGTTTGAAATCAACACGATAATTCGAGAACACTTTCAATCATTAGAATTAAATCGAGTGAATAATTAAAGTCAAGTATAAGTTTTGTAGATGAGTGAATCAATAGATTGCTTTGAATACAGAGTTCATCGTTACAATCATTCATCACTAGATGCAGTTGTGATATTAAAAGAGATTATTCGTCTTTATTCATATAGTTATCATGAGTAGCATTGCAAAAAACAAACTATTCAAACTTTTATCTCACAGTCAGTTAGCTCAATAAAATATCTTGATAATTGATCAACAAAATGTAAAAGTTCCAACGCAGTTATACGTTTATTGATAATAATGAATTCATGACCTATGTTTGTAGTCCTTACTGAACCAATAATTAAATGTCTAAGATAAGCAAAACATCAAATTGAATATGAATTGATGCAGTATTGTAGGAATTTTCTTTATTTTCTGTTTCTCTTTTAGTACTAGTTTATCCATCTAATTTGGTTAGCAGTTTTCTTGGTGGATGACAATATATTACTGATGCAGTTATCAGAGCATTATGAACCATGCCTACTCTATTTTTTTATTTTTGTCACAAACCATACCTTGATCAAACGAATAATTCGTAACCTTGACTCTGTAGTATTCTCGTTCCTTATCTATTTATTAACTATTTTCACTTGGAAAACTACGATGTTTTTGACATTTATTGAAACATAACAAATTTTGGCATAAAATGAAGTAAAATATTACCATTGACAGTATTTTTCTATCATTCAGAAAGATACCTAATGATATAAATAGCTAATGGTTTATTGTCTAAAGGAAGTCGGTGGAATTGTATCAGATGATAACAAACAAAAATTGATTCTGTTCAACGATAGTTTTGAAAGCAACCAAAAACCGGATAAGATAATTCAATTACTCAGTTTTTAAACTGAATACACAGTGCTAAAACAATATGTACTAAGGATTTTGTGAAAGTTGATATATATATATATATTATATATATATATATATATAATATATATATATATATATATATACTGTCAACTTATTATAGTATCAATCAGTCTTGCACAGAGTCTACGTGGTATATATGTGTATCTTTTCAAATTGCCACACTCCATCAGTGAAGTGGAAAGAAATTCCAGCTCAAAGTTTGCAACTACTGGCCACGATAATCACTTAAAATCTAACCAAGCAGTCTATACCCACTTTTATGGCTTAGTCTTATGGTAAATGACTTTGCAAACTAACGACGAGTTTCAGTGTTGTATTACCTAACTTTCTCTTGGCTAGCATATCACATCGTAGAAGGTAATGGCTGGGTATGCGTAATACATGTTGCAACCAAATAAGTCAATGTAAATTCATTACCTCATCAATATTGCACAATATTTGATGTTCATTTTTTAAGGTAACTTGGTGGTACATCTTGGTAGAACCGGGGTTTATTATTAAGTAGTAGAGTGTATATAATACATTGGATGAAACCAATCATTCTTTAAGGTTTCCAGTAACTACAAAGGGACTTTTATGAATTCATGAATAAAAATCGCATACAAGAATACCTTGTTATTAATGAGTTCCTTAATTTTAAACATTAATTACACCATTCGGGGGGGGGGATTTGAGTGAAACTAAGACTTCGATTGATTGCCGTTGATTACAGATGAACTTTCAGCTTGACAAACATAAGAACATCGATATATACTAAATGAAGGTTTTTGGTGAAGAACAATCTAGCTTTTGATAGTACGTGCTATGATTATTTACTGCGCACAAATCGTATATTTTATTAAACGAATATTTTTAGGAAAAAACTTCAAATAATTGTAAAATCAAATTCTGAAATGCTTAACCAAATACGAAAATTTGTATGTTTGATTTATGCTACTTATAGTAGTTCAACAAAATTGGTAAAATAAAATAAAAATTGTCAAAGGCATTTCAACAATAATCCCATAAAAATTATTAATTAGTTAAAAATATTTTTTGACTTTTTAATTGAGATTACTGGAACATATGAAACAAAGATGAATAGCATTTTACGAAAGTCTGAAAATTTCAACTGAAAATATTCACAAATTTTATTTATTTATGTACAACATCCTACGAAATAGAATTCCTATTTATAACAACCTGACCTAAGAATGACATATAGGTAGCTTTTCGCTTCAACCTAATATATATGTGACTCTTCAGAAATGCCAACCTTCGACGTCATACGGGGTCTAATCAGTTTACTTTCTACCACTCAGATTGCTTGATTTCTTTTAGAATACTTAGTCGAAAAAAAATATTAATCTGAAAAGATTCTCAAAACATTCAGTCAGACAATCAACCTTGTATTCTTTGTTTCACCGTGCTGAATGCCTTCTTTAAACGCTTTGGTCTATTAATAAACAGTGACCTATATCATATTTGTTTATTCATTAGAAGTTATCAAAATCTCTCGATCTAATTGTAACGTGGCCACTTATCTGCGTGACTCAGTAACACGTGTTATGTGACGTGACGCTACTTGGTCGGAGATAGTCAACGGGAAACCTTAGGCCAAATATATCACTACCGACGTATCAGACTGTGAAACTGGTAACCTCTGTTCGAATGCACCCAACACCGTCTGTTCCTTGGACGTTTTAGGCAAGCTTTGATAGTAAATAAAAATTAGAACAATCACCTAGATCAAATAGGACTTTCTGCTGCTTAATTCTAACTACGTAACATCAGTCTCGAAACTAAAACGAGTTTTTTAATTTCCACTCAGGGATAAAAGTATTTTTGTTAACATATTCTTCCTCAAAACAAAATAACAGATTAATATCTAAAACGTTTGATGAAAAGCAACATACAGTTTCTCGCATTTGTTCACTTGAACTTCCATGCCCTGCAGTTAAATTTTGTAGTGAACCAGCAGCAGCTTCCAGTGTATACGGATTTGAACTATATTGTATTAAATAGATCAATGTTCTTACTGAATCTATCTCTCCATATGGTGAAGGGATATTTTCGGTTTTCAAGTGATTAGTTGATTTATTTAATGATTCAGAGTTCGCTGTAAAGAAATTAAAATTACAATATTTCACTATTTAAATCAGTTGTGTAAACTAAAATGAATCCAAAATATAATATGTAGGATTATCTATAATGACTTTGGTTAGATAAAATTCTGGAGAGTTAAGAATTAGATGAAAGAGCAGTCTAGTGATTCTTGATTTCTAATGACTGAAGTTAGTTCATGGTAATTACCATTTTCAAGACGATGAAGAATATTTGTAACTCAAAATGAGGCTTTGTAAAAGCTTTACATTTAGATCATCCTGTTCAGTGACCACAACACCTTCGATTTGTGGTCTTCAAATTACAAAATTTCCCCTATACATCCCAACCTATTCGAAGTAATTTATGTTGTGTCGGCCAAAATATACTAAAGCAGTTCATCCGACAAAAATATGCACCAGTATTATTAATATAATAAATAAACAGATATGCATAAACATATACATTGTGAATGCCAAGCTTCATCATTTTAAAGAACATTATAAACATTAAAAGTGTCAGTTAATCACCATGATGAATAAAAATTTTATTGTGTTGGAACATAAAATATTTAGAACATAAAATCGTTCTTTTCAAACTTCAATCTGACATTTTTGTGAAAGATAAATGCATAACAGAGTGAACATCGTAAAACGTTTCCACTGTATACTATTAAAGTGTAGTGAAAAGACGAAATCCATTGATAGTTTACCGATTTAAGAAAATGTAGAGATCACAATAATAAAATTACTCATCAAGTTAAAGGTTTTCTCAGCTAAATTAATTAGTGTTTCAAACCATTTATTATTGTTATTATTATTCATTAACAAATATCAAAAATATCTTAACATAAGGATCCATTATCAATGCACAAATAAATAGTATTAACAAAGAAAGGATTAGGATGAACGGAAAATTGACATTTACAAAAACAACTTTGCTATTTATACTACTTATTAATAGTAAACGTTTATGTACGAAATTAAATATTTGTAAAGTAACTAAACATAAACAACCGGTGTGAAGATATATTTTAGCAGTTGTCACATTGTTGTATATAAAAAATCAGAACATTGAACTGTCTGCGTAGTTCTTTTTAGAAAAAATAGAAGCGTATTTATACGTACTTGAAGATGATAGAGATAAATCACAAGATTATACATGTATCAGTATATGATTGCTTTGTTATTTAAATTTTACGCGAAATAAAACTAAGTCATTAGGTATTTTCAATATTGTTTCGAACGAAATTACATATGCATACCCCTCTGAAAAATTATGGTAACTTGTTCAGAAAATAATGAAGATGAAATCATAAACCAGAATATAAAAAGAGAAATCAAATCGACAGTATAACAAACAAATCATTGCATTCTCGCAAATATCATTTATTTTTAGGCAGATCTCATGAATGTGTTCACTCACTTGAAATAATACAACTTCAACCACTAAAGATTCAGAACAATACCTCTAGTTCAGGTATTTCGCTTAAACGTCTCGTAAATTATTAAGTCAGGAGAGTTAACAAAAAAGTGTCAAAGAATTATAGAATAAATAATGAAGTTTGTGAACCTATGGTGCCAAAACTGGAAGTCATATCTGTTACTGAGTTTCTTCAAACATAAAATTATGATGCTACAAGAATCATATTAGTCAGTTCTACAATTATCGAAGCCAATTTTTAAGTAATTAATACCTTTATGTAGTTGTTAGTTCAATTCAGTACTAACATGAACATATGCACAGCCTACATTTCAACTACGTTACTAGGAAACACATCAAAGGCTTTCATTGTCCGACATTAAACTTTACATCCGACAGCCACTGATAAACAGTTAAATCTAAAAGTAAGTCAAAAAACGATTAGGAAAATTTAATTTTCTGACCTTTTAGAAAAGCTGGCTTTATAGAAAGAATGAGGTAGTTAGGACTCTTGAACATATGTCGAAAAGTATCCAAATAATTATTTCGCTTGACTAATACGTATTTAAAGAAGAACTGTGAGAAATAACAAATACAACGATGCACAATATTTTCAAGGTCGTTCTACACACCAATCTCGAATAGATGTGACAAATAAATACTCGCAGAAATTCACATATTTGTGCTTGCATATTTATAAAGTAATCTAATTTTAACGAGACAATGTTTCTCAACCGAATAATGAAAGTTCATCTTTTCATTTAATGTTACACAACTAAAACCTAGAAACCGGACACTAAATGAAATTCAAACTGTACTTAGTTCACAATTATTCGACGTCTCTTGCTACCTACTAAACAATTATCGTACAAATTACATTTTATGTCCAGCACTTATTTTGAGACCATAATGAACATAACAAAGTACTCAAACTTTATTTATTTACTTTCGATTTCTGTTAATCCCTTTGACTTTTTACCGCTTACAAGACTGGTTGATTTAATTCTTAATAATGAACCATTGCGTGATTTCTCTTGAAATTTACTGTCTTGACTTGACGATGTAACAGAAGATTGAGATGATGATTGTTGAGGTTGAGATTGTTGTGTCTGCTGTCTCTGTTGCAAACCATAACATAAATTACGAATCGTGCAAACACAATGTTCTATCGACCGTTTATCGTATAATTGATGTTCTACTGCATAACGTAATATACTGAAAAGACTAGTTGCAAGTTGAGGGCACTGACGCATTTGTTCTCTGACATCATCATCTTCAGAACTGCTTATATTTCTATTAGATGTGATAAAAAACGAAAACAATGTAAATTATTGGGATTTTTTTTAAATGTACAAAGATTTATACTGGGTTAATTTAACCCATAAAGCAAACAAACTTCTAATCGATCACTAAAGATTATCATATTTTAAATAAAGTGATTGAGAAAAGTCAACTTTATGCATATATTCATGTTTAAATCTAAAGAAATGAATACTTACCGTATCAGGGATGTAACAATACGAAACAGAATACTATTAATAATTGACTGAGCTCCGTTATCTTTTGATGCATAAATGGATGTTTCCGTTGCTGCTGGCACAATAATAACATTCAACAAACTTGGAATTAATGCTTCTTGTAAAACACTTCGTTTCAACCAACTTACTGATGCTAAATTACATAGAACAGAAGCGGCATTCTCCAAAATTGATTTAACAGCCTGATGTAAATCATCGTATTCAGTGCCATTCAAGTGACAATTACTTGAATTACTAGACATCCCATAATTTAAATCTTTGAATGAATCTGTGGTTGATCCATAGACTTGACGATTTTCAATTAACCAAGCTAATGCACGTATACCACCAACTCGTTCCAATTCTTTCTACATTTTAAAGTGGAATAAAATCAAATCAGTCGGTATATAAAATCATGTGATCCCAAAAAGCTGTTTCCATCAGTGAAAAACCATCACAAATTAAGAAGTAATGAATAACTACTTTGTATTAGCTTGGAAACTTTACACGTGAAAGGTTTCAATAGAACGTTTTAACCTATTGTATCAATTCGGTTAAGAGTTTAGATGCTTATCCACAAATGTAATTGAATGATAAGTAAACTATTACTGACTTTATTTAAGAAACGTAGATCACTAGATTTTGCACACTGATACCAATTTAAAATGAGAGAGAAGATTCGTTGCCTCATAGAATGATTTTGGCGAATCTGTTTTCTCTAAGCTAAAAAATGTTTTCGTGAATATTTCACTATCGTTCTGAACAACACCATCAACGTCTAATTCAAATAGTGACTCTTTTTTGCTTATTCCACAAGCATTAACCCAGTTCTTTCTAATGATTATGTTTCTGACTAGTCTTTGAAGGATTTTTCGTCTTTGTCTATCCTTACATTCCATCTAACAGTGAACGAGAATACCAAGGCAAAAAATTTATGTTTGATATTACCAACAACATACTATGATCCATTTATAACCGTTCATTGCAAATGGTTTTATTTTAAAAAACAAGATAAACCACTTTTTATGATACCGATATCCCTTTTGTACCGTACATTGTTCAATTGTTACTTATACAGTGCTTATGTTAATTAATGATTGAAACAATTTTGAATGCACATAACTTTTAAGAACGATCAATTTGAAACGAAAAACCACTGTCATTTTACTTATCACACGCAAAGAAATTAATTAAAATAAACATGTTTTTGAAAGCTGGACACAAATAAATTTCTAAACATTGTAGGGTTAATTCGTCATTTTATCTTCCTAAGATTAACTACTATCTATTTCAATGATATGAAGTAAATAAATTTCGAATGAAAGACTTTGTAAGGTAACACGTTTAAGTAATGAGGTAGTATAGAATATTTATAGCCCAGATAGATAATCCTTAAGTATTAGGTTCTTTGATTTGGATGTTTCAGTCATGAGCTTTCACTGTCTTCCTGGGTAACATTATCAGCCCGTACTTCATAAAGAAGTGAGCTATTAGAATTTTTCCACAATTAACTAACAACATATCCTGTTGACCTGGAATGTGATTGATTGCCTATAATATTCTAACAAAATAATCAGAAGAAATATATCAACAATGAGTATACAAATATGAACAACAATCAATCGAACTGTAGATCAACAGAAAAAGATGTGAGTTAACTGTGAAGAAATTCTAATAACTCACTTCTTTATGCAATGTATGATAATTTTGTAGAGAAATACAATGTAAACATCATGACCAAACCTTTCAGCTCAGAGAATACAATAACTCTAAAAATATGTTTTAGATAATCTATGTGATTTATCATTCGGCATTACAGAAATCTTAAACTCAGTATGTATCATGAAAAAAAAGCGTATTTTTAATGACTAACTAGTCTAATATTAATTCTGACTTATATTTAGTATTTAAGTCCATTCCATTTTCGAGAATTATACATATAATGGTTAGTATAGTCACCAGGTTTTCTATCTGAACTTTTAGTGTTATAAATTATATTTAGTGATTGAATTATTTATTATGAAAAAAATCAAATTTCAAAAAAGAAAATCCATCTCTCGTTCTATTCCTTTAGAAAAAAAAGTTCATTTTACATTGTTATTCGTTAAAACTAATTGAATAATCATGTAAAATAACAAATTGTGCAGAAGATAAATGTTGTAAGCGATGATTTAAATTACAAAAAGTAATAATTTCTATTCAATTAAGTCATTATCAGAAGGGGTTTTGTGGAGATTTTAGTCATTTCAATAGTTGAAATCATGAGTCAAGTGGAGCTAGATCACCATGGAAAACCTGGAATCACTGGACGGTCATTTCGTCTTAGTATGCGACTCCTCAATGGTGCGCATTCACGATCCCGCCCTCCGTAAGATTCGAGCCCAGGATCTATTAGTCTCGCGCGAGAGTGCTTAACCATTAGACAACTGGGCCGGCTGGCATCCAACGGTGTTAATGTCAAACCTCATTCTAATTAATTAAATTGGTTGTCGTAAAGAAATCTTCGCACTGAACTCATATACGTATGGAAAATGCTTTATATAAATACGAGATACTGAGTGTTTCTTTATTGAAATCATGAACCGATTGATGTTAGACCACTGTTGTTTAACGCCAGTCATTCAATGGTTTCAACGCTATTGTACCTGTGGCAGATAACTCTATCATAGCCGATATGACTGAAGTTTACTAATCACGTCCTTCACTGGGACTCTCGTAATTACCTCTTTGAGCAAGTCACTATTGAGCAATTTATTATTAGAACGGAGGCTTTGTAAAAGCTATTGGATTTCCATAGTTTTCATTGGTCGGTATAATAGCTGTCCGGTACTTCATGGTCTTCAATAGTTGTTTAGCCAAGATTGGCAGACGCTCTAAGCAATATCTATTTGTAAGCTTTTTGATCTTTATGGTGCTGAAATCAATTTCTGTATATATATATCAGTTGCTATAGCGGATATCTTAGCGAAGACTGCTGTTACAAAGAGATTGTATATTAAGTGGGGTTATTAGTATGTATTTATGTATGTATAAATTCAAGTGTACAGAGGTGAAGAGAGTGATACGTGAAGAAAGACTACTCAACATGTGACTATGATTGTTTTCTCCTAGAAATCCCATGTAACAGCCAAACAGAATCAGTGTCGAATCAAAATATGAAATTTCTATTGCTCCTTATCAACGACATTGTATTTTAAAATACCTTTGAATTTCATTTAATTTCATTTTCAAATTTATTCATTCCTTTTATTTCATCCCCATAATTGAATATCTTTCGAAAGTGGGTTTTAAATCCCTTTCTTGATAAAGGGTTGAGGAATTCTGAGTTCACTCTTAACAGATATTACTTGTATGCTTAATAGCATCTGAAGGAAATAAACCACTCAGCCGTTGCTTCATGCTTTTGCGTAGTTCCTGACTACAGATCTCATTCAAAAGATGCTGAAATTAAAAGCCGAGCTTTTTATCTTTTCAGAAAACCAATCTTGAGGAAGCACACTCACCATTTTTCTTCAGTCTTATTCATTTTTATAAAAAGTGTGGCAACTTTTGTCAGTTAACCATTAATATCACTTCGTTTCCGAGGTGCTTTAGACCCCCGCCCTAACTAAGTAGCTCATTGAATTATATAGTGTAACTTTCTGTGCCACCCCAAACCTCGAATTTACTTCATTCATTCATGGTTTAGTCACAAATGCTCAAAAAGAATTTCCATATTTAGTCATTTCTTTCGTGAAACCTCTTGCAGAAGTTATCTAGTCTTCAGTACTACTTAAATTCGTACAATATCCATATGATTTTCCTGAAACTTTTATTTATGAGAACAAAAACACATAACATTATAGTTTTATTAATGATCACTAACCGTCGTTAAAATATATGATGAAATGATGAAAATAATCATGCAGTGAAATAATACAAAAATGATATAAACTGACATATTTTCTGAAATATTCCCATTATTACTATTATTGTTACTATTACTATTTGACTGTTTAACTGTTAAACAGCAGTAAATGGTAATATCACATATTATCCATTTCTTAGGACAAAATTAAACATTTGCTACTGTCTGGGTTAACATCAACACCGAGAAGTAGTGTAACTTTCTGTTCAAATTGTGTTTATATTTCCTAAGAACCGAATAATAGTATTTCTTTATTTAATTTTATTCGCCTTTGTTTCTTAACCAATAATCTTGATGAATCAATTTCAATTAAAAATCTTTGGTAATAAATCTGGTTAGAAGATAGTTTCTAACTAAAATAAATATCCAGTCTCGATAGGAAAAAAAGCAATGAATATATATATATATATATATATATATATATATATATATATATATATATATATATATATATATATTTGCATGTGCATGTCCAGTTCACCAGCTTCACCAACAACATCTTGTTTAAAACGTCAAACATACTACCGAACAATAGTCGGTTCACCTACAAATATCTACAATATGATCAGTGTAAGGTGGCTAAAAAAAGTCCACAAGAAACCTTAAACATGAAAATCACTGTGACTACCAAGTTTACCGAGTTAAGAGTAAACTCCATCAGTATACAATTCGCAATATTTTGTTGCACAGGATCATTTCTTGTTATCATATTGATGCATATTGAATATATGAAACCTGATTATTTGTCTATTATTTAGCTACAGACATTATTAGTTATCTGGTGATATGAAACAAATAAACATTTTTTTAACCAAGAAGGGTTTTTTTAAAACTACAATCTCCTCACTGATACAATTCGGTGTATTCTTTTATTTTAGAAACATTTTAGCAGATTTCAACTTATCCCCACCCGTTTTTCATCTTGATAAAGGATAAGCGAAATGATAGATCATTTCAAAATTCAGCAGGGTGATCTCTGATGAATGTGATTGATTATCATATTATAAGATTGCATATTATTGAAATGATAAAGCTTAAATCCTCAAAGATAAACAGTTAGTGAATAAACACAATCATGTAATGTAAACAAAAAAAATAAAAGACAACCGACTATAGATCACTTCAATCAAAAGAAATCTGACAAATTATTCTATCGATCAAATGAAGAATCGTTGAATAACTGTTCTGTAAAATATAATCCTTTACACGACAATAATTAATTCACCTTATAATACGAAAAATCAGTTTGTTAACCGTAATATTTGGTATTTTTTAGTCAAACCTCTAACATTCACGAACCGATCGTTTATTTACTTACCACACAAATTTCATATGTTTAGGTATAAGTCAGACTGGTGTAACAAACGATTTATTTTAAACATATTTTACGCAGTGAGAAATCTTGGTAAATAGCTAGCAATTGAATGTAAAAAGAAAGTCTCCATAAAAACAATATTTCTATAGTTAACTTACTTTTATGGCTAAGGTATCCCCGCATGTTAGATTACGTAACACTCCAACTGCATTAAGGCAAATACGTGTGTGATCTGAATAGAGTAACTGAACTAAAGCTGATATACCGCCAGACAGTCTGAAGTAAAATAGAAATGTATAATTACACAAAATCTCAATAAACTTTTGTTTTTAAAAACATTTCGAAACTTTCCTACAAAGTAGATTATTGACGACATTAGAACTTGAGACTATTTTATGAATTCATATTAATTATATTTTTATTGTATAAATATTAGATAAATAGGTCATTTCTTTTCTACATCACCCGTTTTGTGAACTTTCTTTGAGCTTATCAACCACATTTAGACGATTTATAAATGCCCATTCGTGGTTAATTACAGTAAAATTATGGACCGGTCAATGTTAGACCACTACTGAAAGCCTGAAAGGGCTGGACGGCCCCTTCGTCCTAGCATGGTGGATAACTCTCCACCAAAGACAATTTAAGATGGTCGCGCATTATTTCAGATTAACTGGAGTTAGACATTAATACTATGGAATGTCGGCTCAATAGTCTAGTTCAGGACCGAAGGTTTTGGGTTCGATTCCATGATGAGGGATCATGGATGTAGACTGTTAAGGAGTTCCATGATAAAACATAACGGCCGTTGAGTGCTTTCAGGTTTAATGGTTGCCTGACATTGAATAGTTCAAAATTTTAACGAAACTCAGTAATCTCGACAACTTGATACCAATATTGTTAATTAGTTATTCACCATTTGTCCCGTTCTCTGCCGCTTACGGTGCAATTGTATGTTAAGCATGATTTCATACTTAGGGTGCGCCATGGTCTGATAACTCATATATGTAAGCTAATGAGTGCTTGAAATACCTATAATATTACAGAACTGCTGCTTACGCCAAGCTAGAAGTTCATACGTTATGAACAAATCGAAGTAAGGGCTATACTCTATCTTAAACTCATGGTTCACCTTACCAGTCGGAGCATAAAACTGACCGAAGCTTAGAAAGCTAGCGATAGCCAAAACAATAGATGCTAAGGTAAAGGAATATAACCAGGGCTCTGAATGATAAGTCGCTTCTCTATATATCGATTAACTTAGTCATAACAGATATCTTTTGGAAGTTGGTGTACCTTAAAGGAATATAGAGAACGTTTTAAAAACCAGAAAATGAACAATTTCCATTTCAAAGTAGTCTAAGACTCTTTAAAATGACCAATCGATAGATTTTCCCAGCACTAAATAAGTAGTTTTTAACTCACAAGACAAAATGAGGCACTCAAAGTTTAAGTGTTAATCTGTGACCCATGTATTCAACAGAATAGGTGACAATTGTTGAGAATTGTGCTTTATTTTAAAGAAGTGAAATAAATGAAACGTTATTATCTGATACCAGTCAGGAATGGAAAGCACTTTCAAAAATGTTTTAGAAAACTAAAAACTATCTAAATAACTTATAATTAGTCAATTAATGATTCAACTAAAGCACTATTTTATCAGCCAGCAAATAAGTAATTATAACCACAAAATAAAATAAACATTTTCACCCGCTGATTATAAGAAAAAGACCATTATACTTGCCGTGTTTTCTCTTTTAAACTTGGATTACGATAAACTAAATGTTGTAAGTAAGCAGCTGCATTTGATACAACATCTGGATCAGATGATTGAAGTAATCGAATCAATAATGGAATATCAACTGATTGTGAAAATGTTCCTGAATTTGACTCAATATAATCAATGTTTTTCGATGAATTATTTATATTTGGCATTGTAGGATATCGACTGACAGTAGATAACTTCAAGTTATTACCTGTAAATATTAATTAGTAAATAGAAGATAAAAGCTTAAAATTTTTGTTAAATAGTATAAGTAAATTATGTTAAATGACTAGTCTTCATCCTATGTCACTTTTGCTTTCTGATGGAAAATGAGTTTCATTTGGTAGGTAAATAAAATAACCAACCGATTTTTATAACTAGGCATGATATCCAAACAGTTGTACACTGAATTCCATTACTATGATTATCAATGATCTGATGATCCGTGTAGAAAATTAGTGCAATTATTTCTGTTTTTTTTGGTACAAATATAATGGGGAGTAATAATATATACTAATAAAATATTTAGTAATCAGATAGTGTCCTGCCTAGTAAACCATTTCTTAGTACTTGTAAACAGTGAAAACAATTATCATTCATGTAAAGAATGATGTAAAAAAAATAAAGCTTTAACAAATATCAACACATTTAACCAAGTAAAATTCACTAACAGCTGTTATATTCTTCAGTAAATGATTATAACAATATTTAGATATCATATAACATTAGTCATCATTAATTAGGCAATATCATGATAGCATAGAAACTAACATGAAGTAACCATTATGATAATTGGTTTTATCAAAGTAATTTATTTCATTCAATTATACAAATTAATCATATAAAATACTTTAAATTAATTGTACTGAATATTTTGATTATAATTGAAAAATTAAAAGCCTTATCATTAACATTGTTTCTTTTTATTGATTTACTGTAAAAGTATACTAAAAGTTAATTGAAATATGATTATCATATAAATTAAAATTAAAAGAATAAAAGTACCTTTATAATTAAAATTTAGATCAATTAATTACTTACTTTTATAATGAGTTTAAACTTACATTATATTTCTTCTTTTAAAAAATAATTTCACTAGTTGAAATCATGAGTCAATTGAAGCTAGACCACCATGGAAAACTTGGAATCACTGGATGATCATTTTGTCCTAGTATGGGACTCTTCAGCAGTGCGCATCCGCGATCCCACCTTGCAGGATTCGAACCCAGGACCTATCAGGTATCAACCAAGTCTGTTGTGAGATATCAGCTTGCTGAAGACAATGATGGACAATGGCGTAATTTCGTAGATTTGCTGAAGTTAGACATTAACACCGTTGGACGCCGGCCTAGTGGTCTAATGGTTAAGCGCTTGCGCGAGACTGATAGGTCCTGGATTCGAATATTACGGAAGGCGGGATCGTGGATGCGCACTACTGAAGAGTCCCACACTAGGACGGAACGGCCGTCCAGTGGTTTCAGGTTTTCCATGGTGGTCTAGCTTCAATTGACTCATGATTTCAACTATTGAAATTATTAAAATCTCCACAAAACCCCTTCTGATGATAAAATAATTATTTGAATTTTTTTATTAAAATTTTTTAAAAAAAAATAACTATTTCATAAACTGTAAAATGGAATTTATTGGTTATCTTTAATCTTAGTCAAATAAATTACTAATGATCGTTAAAAATTGTGTAATCTAACAGTGACATATTGTGTATAGCATTTCATAAAGAGGAAAATAACTAAATAGACGAATTGAACATCTTTGAGAATTTTTCTACTTCAAACTCCATTTGCTAATAATCAGATTATTGTGTTTTTCAACTATTGAATCGGGACAAATAGTAAATAATAGTTACGTGTCGATTCAATTAAAAAAACCCATTTATTCTTTTCTATGAGTGATGGGTGTTTTATTTTTTCTTTTGTACCTATTTAAAACTGATGTGAAAATATTTCAAACCATCAAATGTGTTTTTATCTCGAAAGTGTTCAGTTGTATATTTGGTTGAATAATTTTAAGGGGTGAACGAATATCAATAGTTCAATAAGCAAGTATTTTGAAAGTTAACCTTTGAGTTTTAACCAGCTAATAAATTGAAGAAAACCCTCAGACTAAGTACAGACAACTCACCTGTAATGAAAAGCAATTACGATATTTCTGAGGAAAACCATATAGATTCTTGTATAACTTGTTAGCAAACTGACATCAAATGAAGGACTATTGGAAACTTATTAACATCAAATAAGTGCTTCATCTACCAACAACATTACTCAGTGGTAAACACTTAAGTTTTAAATCCGATTAGTTGGAAGGAAGGCGGTTACTTTCCGATAAAACTGGATGACGATAATCTTTTATTAGAAAATGATTGAAACCAGATGATATGAACCACAGAACATTGTATACATGACTTAGTAGTATTATACGCAATGAAAGATCCTGATTTAGAATGACGTTGTGGGCAGGGACAACCAATGACCACAATACTAGGATTAAAACGGTTATGCAGTACATCCTGATTTGAGTTGATTTTATAAGCATAATTATAATCTCTGGCAATTTTATCTTAAACTATTAAGTTTTCTTAAATACAAATTTTCTATTAATCTCTTTCAAACATCTAGGACTGATACATAGTAATGAATAAACAAGTTTCTTAATGAATAATTAAACATCGCTTGCTCTAGTGACGAAATTATGTTAAATTAGACATTTAGTGAATATTTTTAGTCATAATTAGAACGTATTTAGGATTTGAATAATCAAAAACTTCTCCATAGTTTTCGAACAGAGATATAATCGTTATAAATAAACATAAGTTGATTGAGAACTCTGCTGTTATCAGTTACATTTTTCATCAAGCAAAGTATAAAACTAACCTTGTGAATTGTTTACCATCTGTCTATGGACAGGCATTGGTGTTCGACGAATACGTGAATCATCAACACATATTCCATTCGTTTGATCCGTATATATCGACCGATCATATCCTCTACAATGCTGATGATGGTGATTATACAACTGATGATGTTGATTTCTTAAACGTGATTTAATGTCGTCTGATTTAATATTATAATTATGGCTATGTATGTGTGGTTCCCAACCGTTTGTATCAATTGAACATTTCATTTTGTTTTCGTTTGCATTATCCGATTTTGTATCAGCCGAATTTATTCTATTTGCATAATCATTGTATTTATTCCATGGTCTAAATAGTAGCAAAATGCAAACAATTTCAAAATTACATTAATATGTATGTATAAAGATAATGTTAGTGCTAAGTCGTCTCATTTCAATAAAACCATGCAGTCTTCAAATTGCTCATTATTTATCTAAATATTAACATATGACAATTTATTTATGAAATGTATTTTTTGACAGTCAAGTAACTCCTTAGGCAAAAAGGTTATCATTGAGTACCGTATAACTAATTTTCTGTAATGTATTATGCTTCAATTACTCACCCCTTATATTACTGAAATTTCCTTGAAAAATCTATACTTTGTACAGTTGAAATAGTTTAATAAACAATGATGGCAGATACTTTGATTATAGGAAAAGTTAAATGTACTTATATCAAGAAATTCAGTTTTAAAGTTTTATTCACTGAAAATATCGATAAAGCATATTATTGTAAAAAAAACAATATAGTTTACACTTTGAGATGATGGAGAAGATTTGTAGCTTAGGTGGATGATTTTGATGGAGTTTTTTTCTCTGAGCTAGATATTTTGGTCATGAAGCTGTCATCGTTCTTCTGAACGACATCATCGAACACTTTACTTCTACCTGAAGTATGTGCTGATGATGTCATTCAGAAGAACGATGAAAGCTCCACAACCAAACCATTCAGCTCAAAGAACAAAACTCTATCAAAAATAGTTTACATTCTCATTCAAACTATTATTCAAGGTTAATTTATAAAATTCACTTTCGTACTGTAGTTTTTTTTCCTTGAAAATAACTTCATTGAAGCTTGAACAAAATAATTTACACATTAATGAATGAATGTTTTCGACTTGTTTTTATTACAAATAAATGTGCATTTAAATCTGTAAGTAAACACAAAGTTGTTGTTTACATAAGTTTTGATTATTTATATAAATTTAAACCTAGATGTTAAAGTATCCAATTAAAACAAATCAATTGTCTAATTCATTAAGATTTCAATTTAACAGTAGTATATTTAATTAAGAAAGTCTATAATTTACAAAATATGTTATATATGAATATATGGGGCATGCATGCATGCATGCTACTACAACTACAGTTTTGTACAAGATGCTTAAAATTCATATTTCTCTTTTCTTAATAGACCAAACAAAAATAAAGAAACAATAATGCATGACAAGATACAAAAATCGAATTAACTTAATATCTTAGGTAAAAATATTTTGTGTTCAAAAAACAAATAAAACGTTTTAACGTGAATACATATACATTACTGGTATATTACTGACATTTTATAAAACAGTAAGAGGTCTGACATTTCGAAATACATGTAAAAACTCAAATGAAAATTGTCTGAATCATTTCAACAAACTAAAGTTATATTTGTCTGAAATAAGATATTCAATTCAAATAGAATAATAATTAGCTATAATGCTTCCCAATAATTTTTGTTTTCTTTATCATCAATTCTCATGTGACGGAACGTAAAATTATATTAACAATTCGTTGAAGCCGTATTTCATCTGAAAGAATTTTAATTTTCTATGCTACTTATCTAGCTGTGAGATTCTACCTAAACAATGGAAAGTCTAATAAACTCTTACAGAAACTTGTAATACTGACCAATAAAAACCCATATTATGAAATAACTAAACGTGACTAAATCATGAAAGGATAACAGTTTTAAAGTTATCGATTGTTGATCTGGTTCTTAAAAGTGCTGCAAAACTTTAAAATGCATTCGTTCAAATGTTTAAAACTCATGGACGGAAACTTGCATAAATAACAAAAATTGGTCGGTTGTGTTGATCGCCGAATTCGATTTTTCACATTTTCGTATCTTTTAACTCTGGTTTGCCACCGCTATGAAATTATCACAGCTTAGAAGTGATTAAAACACACTCTTATACATTATAACTGGATCTTTATTAATTTGATAACTGTAGATCGGTCACTTAAGTGCTAGATATTACAATAAAAACTACATATTAACACTGACACATTAAAAGTGTTTTTATTCTGAATGGATGAGTCACTGAAAATTGTGGAAATATTTCCAGATTAGACGGATTATTTATCTAAACTAAAGCTTTGATCGACTCACATTCAAATATCAAGTTAAATATTATGGTCATCATAGCTCCATAAATCAGTGAAGAAAAGTAATTTGCCATAAATTTGCAAAAACCGTAATTTCAACCTTGCATATCTATGTCCTTTTAAGTTGAAAAAGATTGTGCCTACTAGAAATACTGTTGAATAATAATTAGACCACATGCTCCAGGTCGAGAAAGTAGGTTAAAAGTGTATTAGTTGCTTTTAACAAACGATTTATTGAATTTTGTCCTATGGTTTTCATAAAGAAATGATTTTAGTTAGATAACTGTTAAGAACGAGGAGTCACTGGATAGTTGTTTAGTCTGAATGTTATCATTTGATTAGTCTATACAAGCCTGATTTAGCTTAATTCATCAAAATTATTTGATTTCTGGTGTATAAAGCATAAAGAAACATCATTTATTTGGAATGAAATGTTGATTGTTTATTTAAACTGCTGATAGAAACATTTTTCAAATTTTTAACACAGCCCTGACTGACATTATACAAAGCTTTTTTAATTAAAACAAGAATATAAATTATCATATCGCATTCAAATGCAAAAAACTACCTCATGCAACGTAAATGGGAGTAAGCATTCTTTCAGGCTACTTCATGCATATATAGCTAGTTTCTTTCCAACTTACAACTTATTCAATCTTTGACTTAATCGACTTTCACCAGTATTTAATTCATATGAAGAGGATTGTGAAGATGAATTTTGTTGATCAATTAATGAAATAGCTCTGTGCGGTTTACATCTTAGTGTACAAAAATCCATATTTGTTAAAAGCTCATCCATTGAACATTGACTATAATTTGTTTTACTCAATAGCTTATCATCTGCTGATCGATCATAATCTTTCTCTTGTATACAACTTTGTGTCATACGATTATCAGATAAACCAACACCATGTAAATGAATATCGATAACTAAGTTTAATGAATTTGGATTTGATGTTGTTGTACTTGCTTTTTTTATACTTGTCCCTGTATCAATTGTAGAATTACTCATAGTACTAGTTGCAACCGGTCTAGATGATTTATCAATTAATGTAAGTCGATTAATTTCTTTAGATCCATGTGAATTCTCTGTGTCTGTTGATATTTCGTTGTCTATTTTATTTGGTGTATTATCATCAAATGTTGTATAAGACGGCAGAAATATGGGCATACTATGTTGCCTTCCATGAAATATTGGAGTATCAATATCATTAGTAGTATTATTGTTTTGTAAATTCTTCTTCATAACTATATTATTTGTTTGTTGTGATGTATTGTTAGGTGTATTTTGTAGGAATTGAGTTTCAGTACATATAGTATTCAATGGTTCACATGTACTCGACGTACATTCAGTATTTAAATCAGTTCTTAAATCTCTAGTATAATAGTTAAATTGGGAATCATTCTGTACTCTCTGATCGTTAGACTGTTCACTAGAATTTTTACATTTACCTAAAGTTGTTGGTGGAGTTGTCGGTGTAAACTCTACCGGTGGATAATATCGATAAGATGAAAATGAATTATTCATTGTACTGAAAAATTTATAAATAAACGAATAACTGCTCTCATCAAACAATTCATGTAAATTAAATTAAATATATTACCATTATCAATTAATTGATTTACGTTATATTCATATATATTTAATAAATAGACAATTATTGATTGTGAACAATCGGTACTTATCGTTAAACTGTGTCAGCGCGTGATCTAATGTACTCCTACGTATTCCAATTCTTATTTGTCATTATTTTAGACTAATGTTGCTTATTAAGGAAAAAGATAAGTGATCTGATCTTTATTTATTGTATAGTAACAGTCAACTTACCCAAAGAGATAGTGGATCTCTCTCATCATAGTTAGGCAGAAATAAAACAAAATTTATAGGTAGTTTCATTTTGTTGCAATTTATTAATAATGGTTTTATGTCAGACAAAACTGAAACAGTTACATTCATCTATTGTATCCCATCAATGTTATCTAATTGACTTCAAACGTGGCTCTTATACACACAGGACATTATTATGAGTTGGGAAGTTTCAGTGAATAACCATACCAACTCTCAAATTTTTCCCCTTCTATGGATTTTTTACATTGATTTTGTATTTAGACCGTATTTATTCACGTTGTTTGATAACTCTAAATAGTGATACATTAAATAAATTGTGAGCCCTTTAAGAATTTGTGTTTATGAATATTTAGTAATAGTTCGATCTTAGATTGTAATAACTAAAAACAAAATTTAGTTCTCAAATGTTCAGATGTTACGTTAAATAGTGTTCAAGTATCCTAAAAAAACTAACAGTAAATAATCAAAAACTATAACAACATGAGCTCGACCTATCACTAACTAAATAAAGGGTCATGCAGTCACATGTTCACATGTTATATATATATATAACTCAAGGTAATTTCACGCTTTAACAGAATCCATAAGCCAAGGTTCTCTGGATAATAGTAATTAACGGCGAAATTTGATTTATTTTATCTACATAACAGTATTTTGATACACTACAGATCTTAAGATAGACACTGGATAAAATAAAATCTCATTCTGTTGAGAAAACATCGAAAATCTAAAACTACCTAACAAAATAAGTACAGATAGATGGTGGCTAGCAGTGGAATCTAGGATGAGCAATTCATCCTATTTGGAACTCGTCAAGTGGATATAACTACATCTTGAGACCTGGATTCTAATGCCAGCTACCACCTATCTGTGCTTATAATGCTTGTGACTTAGGATATATTGAGACAATCTGCACAGAATACACATATGCCAAAAGAGACTGATCAGTTGCAGTCCTAAACATCAATCAGAAGATTCAAACAACCAATACAAAATGAATCTTACTTTTAAAAAACGTGTTATGCTATTATCACTAGACCATTAAGCAATCATTTTCTTTTATGTAGAAGTACATACACTAGCATGGTTTACTTTCTTCATTTACTTCCAAAACATTACACATATAAGTTCGATATACTTAGTAAAATTGTTTCATTTAACATATAGAGATCTATCTAAGCTAACTTAATCATTCAATATGTACTTGAAGAAAAACCATCTATCCCATATAAGTAGTGTATATAATCACTGAAAATGTTTTCACTTATATTTTTTTTTACAATCAATTACTAAATAACATTTTAATGTATACATACTGCACACTTGATCCTTTTTTTCGATCATTTTACTTTTATTTTCATTGATCATTTACTGTTTGAGAAAATAAATATAAGATAAACGTATTATAAATGTAGCTCTTATAAAAAAATCTGACTTTATTTAAAGTAACAACAATAAACAGAAACCACTAATTACTTATTCAAATCTAATTTAGAAATTTCCAGTTATATTAACCTACAAATTCTATAGAGATAAAATTTAAACCTACAAAATCACCAATCTCCATTGTCCTATTTATTGAATAAAACAAAATACAACAATCCATCTTTTCAATATCTCAAACAGTATCACAATCTTTTTTACACAGGTGCATTAATATAAGAAAGCTATTCACTGAAAAAGGAAAAAAACATTAACGAGAACAATTAACTAAATAAAATGTAGTGGATAATGTACAATGATGATGCCCGACCGTTGTTGCTACCTTGACGTGGTGGTCGTGCTTGCCTATCGTGATGAAGCAACCGAGCTATACTGGCTGGAACAACCGTTCCTCAAGGTCCCACCATGTCAGAGAGGTCGGTTGGAGAGCGGTAAAACTAAAAGCAACAAACCCAAGGTCCGAAGGCGAAGTCGTACTGCTTACTGTACGGAGGTGTGACAGCAGTATGGTGTTTCCTTCAGACAACCAGCATGACAGCGATGCTGCCTTCCCACAAGGAGGGGTGGGGTTAGAAAAGGTCGACCCTAAAAATGCATACCTCGCCTTATCTCGCGGATATCTTTCTCCGGTGGTAAGGTCCCAACAAGTACGGAGCTAACACAAAAATTACCCATAAAAAGGTCGTGTGTGACAGACCTCAAGCAGTTGTCCCTTGTGCACTGCGGTCACGCTCTCAGATCACTAAGATCACCTCTAATTCAACTTCCTCTTCAGGTACTTCCAGAAGAACCCTTCCACGGTGTGGGCAACCGAGAAGTGATAACCGCCCTCATACCTCTAACAGCACTCAAGACAATGATCATGTCTTTTACTGATATTACAGAATTTCCTCGTAATAGATATATAAATCGAATATTCACATATTATAATCATTCATATTCAACATAAAATCAATAAACATAATGAAACTACTGACAGATACAATTCACAAGTGTATTTTGTTCCACAATTATATAAATATGACCTATTCACCTTTTATGAAATAATATATTAACTAATAGTAAAATGTATTTTTCACATTATACATGAACACAGAATGATATGTATTGAAAAACAAAACAAAAAAAAAGAGTAAGCCTTCGTCTAATTCAGGAATTGTAAAATGTAATTTTGTTTTCTTGTTTTTTTTTCCATGTGAACTAGTACCAACAATATTGAAAACAAATAAAAAAATAATAAGAAATTTCTGACATAATTAATTATTTTGTTTTTTGTTAAAATACTTTCTTTTTTGGTTAATAAAGAATTTCTATGCACCATAACAAAAGAATAAAGTTCATTATTTATTATTGGTGTTTACTTTACATGAATATGAATCAGTTAGATTAGTTTACAACAATAAAAATTTGTTTATTAACAATGAAAATCAAACCAAAATTAAAGTAGAATGCCTACTGGGTCTTATATATTCACTAGCTAATATTAAATTGAAAAGAAAACTGTTTTCACATTAAACTACGTTTCATCTCATTTTTCGATGGTTCATAATAAGTTATATTTTGTTCTTTGTTTTGCTAGTATTCATCCCAGTGTGTTATGTCAATGAATATATGATTTTATATACTAATGATTAATGATATGTAACTATTTCAAGAAGTCACTGACTTCATGACAACATAACCTTCCTAATGGGAATCAACTAAAGTGTAAATTAACAGTCGAAGATTGTTTGGTATTTAACATGGTTTATATCTTTTCAGTCTAAACTCTCTTTCGTTCTCCATTCAGTGGTTCATTTTTAACTATGACTTTTACCTCTCAGTCCATACTACTGATATAACATGTTCATGCCTTTTTTAGATCCTGATAATTTATTTTTGTCAATTTTCAGAGGTAGCACTGAAAATGTACAATTTAAACTGATATAAATTTATGCCACTCTCTGTGTAACTGAATTATTTTCTTCTGTCTATAAATTTTAACTTTCTATGTGCAAATAATGGCAAGCAGTAAATGATTACTTACAAAACTACAATCTTTAATTACAGTCCAAAACTGACTTATACACCTTAGTATGCAGTATATATTTAAGGTCTTTAATAAAAAAGACCTGATCACACCAAAACTTGCCGACAATAACAACTGTCGAAATCGGTAAAATCGAACTACATATTGAAATATTTACTAGGCTATTTAAAATATATGTAATTCTAAGATTTGATAGTTTTGTTTACGGTTGAGAAGTAATGTCTAAAGATGTTTTCCGTTGAACTTCTACATAATACAAAAACATGCTAGTTATCAGGTACTTCCATCTGTTGCTTTGATTTTAAATTAACACACAGATAGGATAAAGTGTACGTTTCGGTGTATTCACCAAAAATCGCACCTTAGATAATAAAACCCAGAAATATCAATTATCAGTTGTAAGATTAAAAACCTTGCCAAATTGTGAAATGCCTATGTGCTTTTTTTGTTAATCCAAAACGTAGTTTAATTTTTCCATACATAACCTATTAGGATATCTAAAATTTACTACTACAAGTAATCACAATCCAGTAAATTAGAACTTGTCTTTGTGTTGATATGTGAATTCTATTTTATAATCAGTATTAAGCTTTGCTTCCTCAATTTCATACTGCTTGGCACCCATCAGTAAGGTGTGCCAGCAATCTCTTTGAAATTGACACCCGCGTCACTCAGCTTCACAGTCCAAGACGTTTTCCGTTAGCGATTTCGCCATCGATCACCTAATATCAAAACATAGTGCACTCAAGGTCGAGTCATCTAAACCAGTAACCATATTATAACTTTGTCGATAGAATTGGTCAAACACCAAGGGCTTAAAAATTTGACATTTGTCACAACCTAGTAACCTCAAACACTACTACGGCACTGAAATCACTCCTTTCTGATAAGCAAACACTTTATACAATCCACGCTATGCAAAACAAATACAATTATCTAAATGAATTATGAATGAGACTGCACTGAGAAAAGTAGTGTGTTTCTTCATTTATTAATACGGCCTAAATTGAAAATGCACACTTTCTCTAAGGTATTGTGTAAGCATTAGAGGCTGTGTATTAAATCTAACTAGCTGTACAAATGATTGGTTTTATACTCCACTTAGAAAAAAATGTTTGCATCCCACTGATTATCGCTTAAAATAGTTCTTCAGTATCATTAAATTCGATAATCATTTAACGTCCTTTAATTGGCTAAATTCAATCAAGCTT